TTGAATTTATTTCTTAATTATTTTGAGGAACTGGGCTACTGAAATTTCCTGCCGACACAGTTTGAGTGGTGTTAGTGCACAAACAGGAGGAGATATGAAAAGCTGGATGAGCAGATGGGCTTCCAAAAAAGTAGGGAGATTAAATTCATGATTGCAGAGTGCAAAGTCATGTACTCAGGAGCTAAAAATTTGTGCAGCAAGTCATGAGCTCACTAAATGCAAGAAACAAAATTCCTAATCCAGTGGTCACAGAAAGACAATCCAGTATGACACACACATTGTGATCACCTAGATTCAAGAAAAGTTATTTCAGATGGAAACAGATGCAAAAGAAGCCAATTAGGATCTTTTGAGAAGGGGAATTTTTATTTTGTGAGAGGAGATTAGAAGAATTTGCTTATCCAGGCTAGTAAAATAAATTCTGATATGTCTGCTACCTATGAAAACATCAGAGATGTAAACACCAGGGAAGGACAAGAGCTATTTAAAGATAAAATTGGCAAAAGAATTAATAGTTATAAAACCTCTACAAATAAAATCAGACTTGGATTCTGAAGACTATTCTGCATCATGAAAAGGATGAAACTCTAGTTTTGTTTTTCCACAGAGCAGTGGTTGTAAAAAACCAAACTACTTTTAAGACAGAGTGTGATAAGTCAAAAAATGGGACTATGTGAAGTTGTGGTGTAAGAGTTTTATCCAGGAAGTCTTGGCAAGTCCTGTGTATGTCTTACGGTTGTAGAGGGAATGTTAATGCTTGACTACTGCTCAGATGTCAGGTGACATAACTCAATCCACTGGAGAGCCCAGAGGTGAAAAAATAGCCATTAGATGGAATTGGAAGAGATTGCTCCTCACAAGCAAATCTTGGTGAACTGTATCCCACTCATCTGTGTTGTCTTGAGTTTGTTATCAGAATTAAATTCAATTGTAAGATTCATGGCTTTTTCCGGTACTTTTCATAGTCTTAGCCACAGCAATTACTGGCAATTGACTGTAGGTTCTGTAATGCACTTCTGTCAAATTAGAGATAGAGATTTTATATGACAAGAAAAAATGTGATTCATCTTCTACTTACTTGCTTTCTGACGCCTGTAAGCTGGGACAAACCATATTATGAACATTAGCATACATTTTAGAAACTGTGAAAGGAGAAAAATCTTGAAAAGTCATAGTTTCAGAAGGTAGGAAAGTCAGAAAAGGAAGCAGTGCTTACCTCCATCAGTCTACTCAGAAATGCAGTTAAATTATTGCAATTTTTTTTGTAAGCAACTCTGCTCCATGTCTCCTAGCTAGGCGTTGGAGATGCATCATGTCCAGTGAGAGCAGAGTTAGACAAGAGGGTGACTAGGATGTTGGTGACACTAAAAGCCTTGTCTACGTTAGTTCTACAGCTACTAATGGACTGAGAGGTAAAAATTTCAGTGGCTGAAAAATCAGCAAATGTGTCTGTTGTGGGTTAACACTTACAGGCAGCTAAGCCTCACACAGCTTGCTCATCCCTCTGCAGCTGTTTGTTCAGTCTCTCACAGCAGGATGGGAAGAGAATTGGAGTGCAAAAGTGAGAAAACTTGTGCGTCACGGTGAAGATAGTTAATAAGGGAAGAAAAACAAACAAAAAACCAAACCAAAAAGTGATGCAAAAGCAATCACTCACCACCAGCTGACCAAGGCCCAGTGCTTGAGCAATAGACACCTTGGAAAACTAACCCCCATTCCTCCCCCTACTCCAGCTTTTACAGCTGAATGTGATGTTATATGCTATAGTGTATGCCTTTGGTCAATTCAGGTCCAGTGTCTCAGTCTTGTCCCTTCCCATTCTCTTGCCCACCCCTATCTCACTCACTGGGGCAGCAGAGCGAGAAGCAAGACAAGACTTTCATGCTGTGTAAACACTGTTCAG